GAATGCTCCAAGCTGCCAGGCCCCAGGGGCTCTGAGTCTACGCTTCCCACCCAGAGAGGTCAAGGTTATCTCTGGGATCACACAGCTAGTCGGTGCCAGAATCAGCGTTGGAATCAGGTGTTCCTCCCCACGTGGGTCACCCGATGGAGGGGCTGGCATGGGCAGTCTGGAGTGTTCAAGAAGATGGACATCCCACTGGAATCGCCCTGCGGCACAGGGGATTAAGCTCTGTCTGAGAGCTGTGCCCAGTGAATTTTGGTGTCTGAGCCGCTGAAGGCCTTTGCTCTTGAGATTTCTGACTTGTCTGGGCCCATGGGGCTGGGTTACCGCACATTCCAGCACGCTGGGCACGACTGGGAAAGGGCTTTAGGGAAACATGTTGGGGGGCATTCCCATTTATTTGCACTTGTTGTCTTTGACTTTGGCTAATAGCTCAGCTCCCAAGCTTTGTGGGGGGATGTGCATATAGAGGGCTTTGGGGGTACACTGAAGGCCCCGGATCCCTCAGCTCAGACACTGTACAAAGTGATGGGCTCAGCCAAAGCCAGGGCTTCTGCTTACGGACAGTGGGGAGTGTGGCACCCTGGGATGCTGCCTTAGAGTGGACACTGGAGGGCGCCCAAGAGCCCGCTTTCTGTACCCCAGAAAGTGGTACCTGAGCGCATCCAGGGCTGGCCCATAATGGAGTGGGTGGGACTGCCAGACGGTCCCGGACAACGTGTTTCAAACTTTTTAATTGAAATCTAACATGGGGCCCTTCATTCCAGGGAACGTTGGAGTGGATGGAAGGGAGAAACAAAGAAGGAGCGAATCTGCCCATTTGTGCATAGACTTCTGCTGAGATGGGACCGTGACCCACACAGAAGCAGACACACACACACGCACATGCACACACACGCGCACACACATACACACACACACACAGTGCTCATCCATATGCAAAGACAGAATGGTGGGCAGGGACTGGTACATCCAGTTATCCAAGGCGAGACGTTTGTTGAGCACGCACGTCCCAAGGGCCGAGTTTGGTGCTGGGCCCTGTGGGAACGCAGGGACGCACAAAACACCAGAGGGCGCTCCACAGTGACCGGCTGCTCTGTAGAGCAGATCGTGGTGTCCGGAGAGCAGTATCGCAGATCTGAGGGTGAGGAGGGAGGTTTGTGGAGAGCTGCCTTCCACTGATAGAGTGTTTCATGGCTTCTACAACACAATGACCAGTATGCGGAGCAGCTCGGCTTAATGGCTTATGTGGCTCAGAAGAGAGTGCACGTGGAGTAACCTCAGGGCTTCACGAGCTGCGCTGACTCCAGGCCCCTGTTGCTGTAGCTGGCATTTCTGTGAGCCCTGGGGTGGAGGTCCAAGACTCCGATGGGCAAGGGCGCACGGTCCCACCTCCCTACCTCACAAGCTTTGCAGACCTCGTGACTGAGGACACTGCAAGATTCCACCTTGGCCCCCAGAATGAAAGCTCTTGGCCTTGTCCCCCACTTTTAAACAGCTCTCAATTCCCAGAGAGGGCGGATTAAAAATCATCTACCAGCAAAACAAGTCATCAGTCATAAGTTTCAATAATATAAAATGCTCCAATTTTTATTTAAATATTTTTGTCTAAATATTTTGTCTAAAAATATGTACAATGTTTATTTAAATATTTGTTTTATTTAAATATTTTGTTTCCGGATACTAGAGCTAGAAAAGGAGCACCCCAGAATGCCGGCGCAGGATCTGAGGCCCTTCCAGCCCAATCTTGCTTTACAGATGGGGCCTCAGGGCTTGGGGGATGATTGTCACTGAGGCTGAGGTTGATTCTCTCTTTTAGAGAATTGCCTGGGTTACCCCAGGTGCTCTAAGGGAACATGCTGCTGCTCCCCGAAGGAGGGAGGCCGAGGAGCAGGTGTGGGGCTCCCCACTTGGTCTCTGTAAGATTCCATCCCTCCCACAGCCCCCAGCCTGCGCTGAGACTGGGCCTGGAACAGGAAGGGCTCAGAACCCTCCCTGATGTTGCCATGGTGCCCACAAAGACCCATGGGAACCGAAGGTGAGCTCCCCTGCCGAAGAACCTTGCCCATAGGAAGAAAAAGGTGAGCCCCACATGTCATGAGCGCTCCGAGGAGTCGGCCTCAGAGGCGAAGAGCCCCCAGCTCTCCAGTAATGCAGAGACCGATGTAAGGAGAGTGCCTCCATTCCACCAGCTCCCCCTGTAAGCACACCTGAGGTGGGCAAGGGGGCTTCAGAACAGTGAGTACGCCTGGCACTCTCATTCATGTTAGAGACAGAGGGCATCCCTAGGGACGGGAGCCGCTTCGACTTGGTTCCATCTGGTCAGTTGGCAGGGAGGGGCTTTGGGGGCTCGGGGCTGGGAGGCAGGAGGGAACCAGGAGCTGAAGCATCGTTGTAAGTAGCTCCTGCCACTCAGAGTGACCCAGGAACCAACCCTCAAAGCCCTTCAGGGGCATTTTGCCAAGCGTGATAAAAAAAAGAAAAATACGTGTCTAGGACATTGAGATAGCCCTGGATATCAAGATCAGCTTAAAAGGCTCTTGGGTATCAAGCAGGAGCTTGGGTACCTCAGTGTAAACTCCAGCCTCCCTCTCTCTGAGCAGATGCCAAGTCTTGTTCAGGGAGAGGGCAGGAGAGGGGGACTCCTGTTCAGCTGTGGTTATTCTGTGCTGACCAGGTCTGCTTGAGAATGTAACACTCTTTCTCTCTCAGATTCCTTTGGGCCACATTGAGGATTCAGGGGTATATAGTAAGGGCAGTGGAAGCTCGTAAGAGGTTTGATGTTGGGGAGCGAAAGGTATTTCTGACTCCTGCATGGAAAATGGATCAGAGAAGCATATGTGTATTATCTGAGGGTAGGGAAAACCTCCTTATACAAGATGGAAACCCAGCCATAAAGGAAACACATCAGTTTGATATCCAGTTTTTAAATTAGGGACAGTCAAAGGATAGATATATATACATACATAGACACAGAGACATGCATGTATTTGACATATTTTCCACACCTAATTAAATACTTTGTATAATATACACAAAGTGAAGAGACAAATGATACCCTGGAGAAAACTTTTGCAAGGTGTAAGGTGGGCAAAAGGTTAGTGTCCGTGGCACACAGAGAGCTTTGAGAAATGCTAAGGAAACTGTAGCAATCCAATGGCAAAATGGGGAAACTCTGTGATTAGGCAGTTCTCAGAAAAGGAAAATTAAAAGGCTAATAAATCTAGGGAAAAAATCTTAACGGTGGCCAGGGAAGTTCAAGTTAAAACAATAATCTGAAACCATCTGTCACCCTCCAGATTGGCAAAAAATAAATATTGATAATACTGAATACTGGAGATGGTGTGTGGGAAAAGGCACTTATGAATTGGATGGGAATGCAAATTGCTACAACTTTTGAAAAAGTGGGTTGGCATCATCTCTGTCAATTAAAGATATATATCTTCGTTCATATAATCCCTCTTTGAAGAATCTGTTTCTTAGAAATAAAAGCAGTAACACACGAAGATGGATATGTATATATACATATTTAGATACAGGTATAGTTAACAGCTATAGCTATAAATACATGTGTGTTTATAAACATATATAGATACTTATACACACATGCCTATATGTATTTGTATTTTATTGCAGCATTGTTTATGGGAGTAAAAATGCAGGAGGCAGGCTGAATGATCATCCACAGGGCAATAGTCTAATAAATTATGATACGGCCACAGTGTGAAGTATTATGCAGCTACTATTAAATCTTTCTTCACTTGTCTTTGAATTAGCTCACGTGTTACCATGAACATCTGTTACTTTGGCCGTTTATGAAGTCTAATTAAGATAATTAAAAGGAAAAGCCTGTCTGCCCAGGTGGGATGGGAACTCCCCGAGGCAGGGACCCTGTCCACTGTGTTCCCTGCTGTATCCCAGAAACAACGAACACGTTCCTTGTCGGTGGCAGCTGCAGAGAATGTGCTTGTTAAACACACGCACGCACGAGGCCCTTCTCACCACCGCGACTGCAGGGCAGGTGATGCGCTATCTGGGGAGCAGCGCAGTGTCAGCGGGGATTCCTGGTCAGTAGGGGGCGTAGATTCTGCTGGTTTTGCCTGCTGGACCAAGATTGCTCTGGGGAACTGCCCAGCCCCAATCGCAGTCTTGTTAAGTGAGTTAATCAGGGTGTCTGTCCGCTTGAGACCTCAGCCAGGCCAGCTGCGTTCTTTCGCTGGGAATTTCAGTTGAGCAGAAGCACCCTGCTTCAGCCTAGAGGCAGCACCCCACAGAGGTGGCCACTGGCGCTCGCACCCGCATCCCTGGAGCTGCTTCCTGGCCTCCCCTAAAGAGTGTTCTCCAGTTTTCCCTTTGATTCTGAGAGCACCCTGATTCCCTCATCATTCTTTTAACAAATCTCAACCTCCCTTACCCCTATGTGTATTTTTTTTTTGACCATACCATTGACAGAGTTACATTCTGATGTTTGCAACCGAACTGCCCTAATAGTGGTCAGAGACAGCTGGGAAGTCCTGCCACTCATCCTCCTTCATGGCTCTCAAAGCTAAGGTGACATAAGTCCACTGTGCGCCAGGGCAGCCCTGGTCAACGCCCGCTATCCAGGCCTAATTATTAGTGTCACCCTTTCAGTCTGACCGGAATGAGAAATTATATGATCTGCCTACTCGCAGGCCTCCTTTGGTCCCCATCACTTTGGTAAAGAGTGGAGAAACGTGGATTATCTCCTGTTTCGCTTTATCAGAACCACTTTCCCAGCACAATAGTGGAGAGTTATCTTTCTACTAATATGCTTTATAATTTTTGATTTTCACTTGATTTGATAAATAACCCACACTCAAGGCTTACTCATTATTACTTTGTGGCAAAACATGGAGTCTTTGGGCCAATCTCCTCCATAATATTTTGAAGAGACCCTTTGGAAATTTTTTGGAAATTTAAAATCTGCCTCTTTCATCTTCCAGGTGCTTCCTCCCCCTTGTGTAATCTCCACTCTCTTCATGAAAATGCTGAAGCCAGTAAGTAGATGGGTGTCACTAGAGGGCAGGCAATGGTGAGGAGCAGGAGCACCTGGTGACAGCTGTGTTGCTGGGATCCCACAAGGGGATGGGTCCTGCCACCCTGAGGGCCTCAGGCTTTATCAGCTGGCTGTGCTGGGTAGAGGGTGTGCAGCCCTGCTGGCAGAGCCCCGCTGTTCTTGTCTCACATTTCAGCAGGGCTTCATCTAGACTCAGATTCCACAGTTTTCAAACACCCACCGTATTTCTGGCACTGAACTACAGCACTATACTAGTTCCCAAACTTTCGTTTGTCATTTTGACATCATCCTCAACCTCATCCTCATCTTCATCCTCATCCTCGTCTTCATCATCACCCTCATCTTCATTATCATCATTATTACTGTCATTATTCCCAGTTTGTGTATGAGAACCGATAGGTTCAAAAGGTTAAATGCTTTACCCGAGGTCAGAAAACTAGTTAGTGGCAAAAACAAGATCTGAACGCAGATCTCCATTCCATGGTCCGCGGTCTCCCTTCCTCCCTGTGGGCCTGGCGTGGCTGGCTTAGGATCAGTTGTATCCATTCTTGTGGGCCCCTCGTAGTGCACATTTCCTGGGTAGGTTTCCTGGAGCCACTCTGTCTGAGGTTTATATCCATGCTGGGTATGGGGCTGCTCCCTTAAGGAATTTGCTGAAGCCCAGGACCTCAAGAAAATGCCTAGGGAAAAGCCCCTGCCCAGGGGCCCAGCTGCTCCAGCCCTGAGTTTACACCAAAAGAACTGAAAACCAGTGTTGGAACAGAAACTCATACATGAATATTCATCGCAGTGCTCTTCACAGCAGCCAAAAGGTTGTAACAACCCCCATGTCTATCGACTGATGAATGGATAACCAAAATGTGGTCTGTCCACACAAGGGAATATCATTCAGCCATAAAAAGGAATGAAAATCTGACACATGCTATAACATGGATGAACCTTGAAAACACGCAAAGTGAAAGATGCCGGACATAAAAGCCCACTATTGTGTGATACCACTTACATAAAATACCCTAAAGAGGCAGCTCCAAAGGGATGGAACACAGGCGAGTGGTTTCCAGGAGGTGGGGGAAGGGGAAATTGAGAGTGATGGCTTAATGGGTACAAAGTTTCCTTTTGGAGCAATGAAAATGTTCTGAACTAGAACACAGTTGTAATGGTTGTACCACATCGTAAATGAACTAAATGCCACTAACTGTACACTCCGAAATGGATAAAATGGTGAGTTTTATGTTTAGTGTATTTTACTGCAGTTAAAAAGTAACAGTTTCTGCCCCAAATCTCCTCAGTTTAGTATCTTTCTGAATCACATTTTAGGATAAACACTTAAAGTTTCTTAAAGCTTAATCCCATCCCTGCTTGTGGGTTCTTTAGAGCTGCTGCAGAGAAACGATCTTTCTCTCTGAACTTTTGCCTCTGATACCTCCTGTCCTAGATGCTAAATTACAGGCTTGCAGCCCTGTCTCCTGAATACAACACATTTGCCTCGAGAAGATGGCTTTTGAGAAATCTTGGCCATATTTGAAAATTAATGAGCTTTTCAGTTTGTCTTGATTTCCTTTCTGCTGTACAATTTGGAAAACCTGGCATTTATGAGAGGTTAAAAAAAGACATTCTCTCTCTCTTTGCTTCCGGAGCAGCACAGACCCCGGCTGGAACGCCGGGTTGTTGGCTCAACTAACCGGTGGCGTCTCCCCAGAGAGCCTTTCTCCGGGGACCTGCTGGCACTTTCTCAAATGTGCAAGGCTGTCAGCATAGACTTTGATGAAGTTCTGAAGAACCCAGACAGGTAGGGAGATCAAAGGGCCACAGCCGGGATGTCTCATCAGGATGAGCCATCCCTCTGGGAAGTGCCCCGTGGATGGGTCCCTCTAATGGGCAGATGGGCTATCCCAGGCATTTGCCAGGAAGACTGCCTTGTGGACCATCCTTAGGGATGGACAGAGTCATGGTGATGATTTCCTCTGAGAATGTCTGGGAGTGGTGATAAAAGTCCAGTGAGATGATTGAGAATTTTTTTTCTAGATTTTCCTTTGTTTTGGGAACTTTGGACCCTAACAAGATTCTAAGTTTATCAACTGATTTGTGTTGACAAACAAAGTGAGATGGCCCAGCTCAGCGTCTGAACCCCTCCCACAAACGCACATGACCACCCAGCAAGGGGGGAAGCGGGCTACCGCTCACTCCCGAAGTATTCTGAGTAGCTGGCTTAGAACATCACTCCACTAGGTTACGAGTTCTTTCTTGTCTTCCCATGGCAGAAGGACCCCTTCACTTCCCTGGTCCTTTGGACCTGCCTTGATGCCTCTGCCTCCGTGGGCTGGCAGCATTTGCCTTGGGAGCACTGAGTCCAATCCACTTGCACGTGGGCTGTGCCCTGGCGGCACCTGGCACAGGAAAGCTCCTGGCTCCAGGTTTGCTGAGCGAGTAGCCACATCTTCCCTTTCTAGACCCACTGGCCAGCCCGGCTCCATGGCCTTCCGCCCCACAGATGACTATATTTATTATACACACATGAGTAAACCAAAATCCATCTGGATTTGCCCTCTCAGTTCTCTGATGATCCCAGCTCAGAAAAAAAAAAAATTGGGTGCTGTGAGTTGCTGTTTTTGGCATTGGCTACGCATAGCCTTAAACAAGTTTGAATTTATTTTCTATTTTGTTTGGTTAGAGCCCTGAAGAAGTCTTAGTGTTTTTGCCAAAGTTTGTTTTGTTGCTTAGTGCCAGGACTGGGCTGGGCAAGCAAGCGCTGGAGCTGAGCCTGGGAATATGGGCGAACCGATCCCGAAACCTGAGAAGGGTGGCCGGGCAGCAGAGACAGAGATCTTCAGGACTTGGTTTGTGGAATCGCTGAGCTAAGCTGGGGATGGTGGCCTGAGGGGTGATGGCCGTTGGTGTTGGTATCTGACAAGGCTGGAATTCCTTCTCCTCCACTTACTAGCTCTGTGACCTTTAGCCAGTGGCTTAACCTCTCTGAGCCTCAGTTTCCCCGCCTGTGAAATGGTGAGACTAGCATCTCCCTTGAAGAGTTACCTCGAGGATTAAATCAGACCATACCTGGAAAATGATTTGTGTCACTCCTGGCACACAGTAGCTTTTCAGTAGACGGAGCTATTGATCCTGGCGGTTTCATTTTGGGGAGTGTCAGCCCTGTGCTCTGCCAGCCAGTGACTCTGTATCTCACTCTGACTCTCAGTTCCTTTTCCGCATCAAGCACCTTACCTCCAACACAACAGATGCAAGGACTGGTCTGGGCACTGTTTTCCCAGGAGAAATTTTACAAACCTGCCTCTCTCCTTGGTGATGCTGGGAAGCTGTGGGTGGGGAGGCAGGCGGAGGGCAGGTAGGCACTCTGGGCAGGTGGATCACTGGTGTACCAGGGGGTCAGCCGACCCAGGCTCAGCTCAGCTGGGCAGTTTGTCTGCTCCACAGGCCTGTTGTCCTCCTGAGACAGTGGGCTTGCCTGGGCATGTTCTTGTCCTGGTGACGGCAGAGGGCAAGAGGGCAAGCCCAGCTGTACACGTGCTTTTCAGCCCTTCAGTCACATCCTGTCCACTAACATCCCATCAATCAAGGCAAGTCATGTGGCCAAACTCAAAGTCAAGGAGCAGGAAACACACACGGTCTCTTTGTCGGGAGAGACTATGGAGTCCTGCAGCAAAATGTGTGGCCATGGCTTGTGTGTGTGTGTGTGTGTGTGTGTGTGTGCGCGCATGTGTGTGACTGGGGCCATGGGTGCAGTCTACCACAATATAGGAGTAACTAATTTTCGTTAATAAATGCAAATTTTTATCTTCTTTATTTTCACAATGGAGATTTATTCCATGTGATTGTGAGAAGTAAACTTGGAAAGCATAAGAAAGGTTTTATTTAATTTCGGTAATAAAATAAAGGACTTATATCTGGTAACTCTTCTGTGCTTTCAGACTTCAGGCAACTGTCAGATGACGAGGTCAATGAGTGCGGGGGGCGTCTGGAACTGTATCTGCAACATACACGTGTGCCCAGAGCTCCCCAAGGCGCTCAGCACCTGCCTGGACCAGCAAGCCGGTCCTTGCTCTTCATGCTGTTATTGTTGCTTCTCCCACTTGGGGGCGCTGTTGGCTTTGACAGGAGCTGGACCAATCTATATTTTACTTGTTATACAAAGCATCACTGGCAGTGGAAAGTTGAGTTAACTAGCTCCCAGCTTCCCATTTATTTCAGATACATAATCATGCCTCTCATAGGCCAATGCCCCGGGCTCTGCCCAGCTGGCCGCTAGTTCTGCTTGTGTCTGTGGGTTTCTGAGACGCAATAAGATTTGGCTCCATGACTCAGAGATGCCGTGCAGGAGCCTCGGGTCCCTGGTCCTCCTTGTCGTGCGTCCTTCCACTGGCACTGGGGTGTGGAGTGCGGGGAGAGGAGCCCTGAGAGATGAGGAAATGCTAGCCTCCTCCCAAACAACCTAATCTTTTCATGCCTTAGTTTCTTTATTGGCAAATTGGAGATGCTGTCTTGCAGGGTTGCTGTGAGAATTTTATGACATAATTCATGTTGAGAGCTTGGAATGGTGTCTGGCACGTAAATACCCAATTACTGTGTCACCCAGTGTCCCTGGGGTTCTCTGGCATGTGTGGACATAGCTATCGTCTGAACCCAAAGATCCTGGATGGGGGAGTGTGGCTGAGGCTCTGGGGCTTGGGTGCTAGGAAAAGTGATCTGCCTCATGTTGTCTCCCATTCTGACCGCAATGCCAAGTCCACTCTGGGAGGGGAGGAGGTCATGCTGAGAGGTAAGGATGTAAAGAAAGGACCTAGATTTTTATCTGAGAGTAGTTCTGGGAAAGCTGGACCTGAAAACCGTGATCCATGGTTTTGAGCTGACAGAAGCAAAGATGTTAACCGAGAGCCCGCTCCGTGCCAGGTGTCCTGAGCGTTAGCAATTTTGCTTCCCCCAGCGACTGCCAAGTGGTTCTCATTTCTCTCTTAGGAAGGAAAGCCCTGAGACCCAGAGGCAGGCTTAAGGTCATGTGGCAGCCAATGGAAGGACTGGGACCCAGGTCCAGGTCTGTGTGACTCTTCCCAGGAAATCAAATTGGAGTTTCCCATGTTGAGGGTATCAGGTCAGACGCCCTTTGGATGGTCTGCGGAAGGGAGTCCATCTGTCCTTGGGAAACTTATGGAATTTCCCCCTTCCCCTTCTTGTTTTTCTATCATGGTGTTGCCCCAAAAGGGGAAGCCCTCCTGTCTCACCCAAAAGAGAAGAATTCAGGTGGGAGAAAAAAGCGCTGGGTAGTTAAGATTTTAAAGATTTATTAGCAGAGTGAAAATCCACCTCCAAGAGCGGAAGGTGGGCTCATCCCAGAGCAGATGGCAGCCCTGGTGTCAGTCTGTCCCTTCTGTCTCACACCCTCACTTAGAGGCAGTCTCTTGATTGATTGACGGCTCTTGCGCTGGAGTGCTTAGTCCTGCCTGTCTCCTTTTGCGCATGTCCTTACCCAGGATGCACACAGAAAAGCCCAAGGGAGTGGGGGTGGAGGCTAACTATATTACAGTGAGCACTGGGTCATGTCCAGTTAGGTCTTTGTCAGTACTGCGGTCTCTGCTGCCCTAGTCTCACCGGGTTTCCTGCTGGCACTCATTTAGGGGAGGTAAAGCCCCTTATGCTGAAAGCGGGCATATCGCCATCTTGCGGACTGTCCTCGCTCTCCTTCATCTTATCTGCCTGGTGCCCCCATTTATCTAACTGCCTAACACCGGGAGTGAGCCACAGACTAACAGCATGTTCCCAGCATTCCCACTTCATCCAGGCCATTTAGCCCAGAGAGTGAAGAGGACAACCCAGAGATGCCATGTGTTCCATTAACTTTTCCGAGGGTCCTAAAATGAACCTCAGCCTTTGGGAACTAGAGAGGCTGCATGATAAATGGTGTATCTGGGCAAGCCGCCAAGACAGCAGGAGAAGGCAATGCGGTCACTTCTGTTGCCAGGCATCTCCTGGTTCAACTGATGACAGCGATGTTTATAAGGGTAGCTGAGTTCATGGCCCATTGCCCCAAAGTTTCCAAAGTCTATTGCTCCATTTTAAGATCACAGTCTGAACTCCTGACCTTGGCCAGCTCTTCCCAGATGTGTGACCCAATCCACCAGGGGGACTGAGTCTGGCTGGGGTCAGATCCACTGCTCTGTTGGATAAACAACTCAGGCTCCCACTGCCTTCTTGAGGCTGAGTCACTGGTAGTCACCATCTCTGCTTGGAAAGGGCAGCATGTGGTCAATATTACTCTGGATACAGGCTCCCCCACCCATGCCCTCCGGCATCCACCCTGGCCCACGAAGGGTTCTGGTGTCATTGAAAAACAGCAGGGCAAAGGTAAACTGACTGGATGTGGTCAAGTGTCCCTTGGCCGGTTGGCTGTCGTGGGATGGCTGTCTTCAAGCTGTGAATATGTGACCCCAACTTTGTTTCATTTCCTTGCTCAGCAGGATGAACACAGTGCTTATGGAAAAGCAGCTTATCTTTGCCATCTTGTAGTCATTGATATTTATCCAGCAGCTGCACGATGGCTGTGCTAGGCTTACAGCAGTAAATAAACGCCGACTCTGTCTTTGGGGATGCAGAGTCTAGTGCAGAGGGCACATGAGTGAACAGATGACCACCTGACACTGTAGAAGGAGTTCTAACTGGGGTATCCCAGGGCAAGCAGTGGGGAGGGCCACCAGCCCAGCATCCCCAGAGGAAACAGCAACTAAGCTCATCTGGAAGGCTGAGTATCAGCGCATCAAGAGAAAGGACCACTCTGGACTGAGGGAGCTGTGTGTCCAAGAGATTGGAAGCAAGCGGTGGTGGGTTCAGGCTGTTGAGAAAGGCTGGAGCCAGGAGTGTAGAGACGGATGAGGCTGCAGAGATAAGCAGGAGCTGGTTAGCCATGCGAGGGGGGCCATGCTAAGGAGGGCGGGCTTTCCCCCAGGAGCACAGGGAGACAGCGAGGGATTCCCGGCAGGAGAGGAGCAAGTCCAGTTTTGCATTTTGGATGGTTCCTCAAGCTGCAGGGTGGGGTGTGCATCGGAGGGGAGCACGCAGGAGCCTGGGAGACTGGCAGTGACTGGAGGAGATAACAGTGGCTTGGATGAAGGTCATAGCAATAAGGGCAAGGATTTGTCCAAGGAGACATGGATGAATTTCAAAGACATTTCATCAGATCTGGGCAGGTGACCAAGTGGGACAACATTCAGGATGCTGGCCTGGGCACCTGGAGGCAGGTGGGGCCATTTCCTGGTGGAGGGTTAGGGTTCAGGGTAGATTCGGAATTTCGTTCATGGACATGTTGAGACTGGGGTATCCACGACCCTAAACAAGTATTGCTGAGCCAATTTCCCAGACGTGCTCAGAGCCCTCCCTTCCTTCCTCCAGCAGATATTCACTGAGCACCTTTTATTTTGCTACACATCGTTTTAGACACTCGCCCAGAGAGGTGTCATTTAGGCAGCAGATGTGGCCTCAGATACCTCCCTGGTAACACCTACCCCCAACTGAAAACAGGAGTTAACGTTTTGAGCCGGTCATCAGAGCTTACAGTTTACCCAACTGGCAGACACGTTGGTGTCCTGAGGAAACTGTGCCAAGGGGAGAGATAAGGTTGATTTGTGGACGATTTAGGGATGCCTACGCTGGAATGATGAATATTACAGTTGGAGAAAAGTGTCAGCATTAACTCCTGGATTTTTGTATTTTTTTTTTGAGGTTGTGTGTTTCACAAATTCAGAAATATTTCCCAGGGAATATGAAGAAAAAAGCCATCCAAAGCGGGGAGGCAGGTGAGTTCTTGTCACCGGTGGACAGAATTTTGCTGACCACAGGGGCACCTTGTGGTCTCTGTGGAAGGAAACCAGACCAACCACCAGGTCAGTAGTCTGTAAATTTCTGTTCCTGCCCACTGCACAGTGTCTAACGTGTAACAGATGCCCGAACATACTTCTCAAATGCACAGTGAATGAAACCAAGGTTGGCAAACACATTTTCATATGCCAATGGCCATGATAAACACAGACCTGCCAATGTAAATAAATAGGATTGGAAGATTAAGCAGAAGCCCCACTGCGCACAGGGCAGCTGTTGTCTGTCCCTCTGGGCCTAACGAGTCATGACGTGGACATCCACGTCTACACTGTCCAAGAGGACTTGCCTGAGGTAGGCTCAAGACTCAGACCAAGTGTGTCCAGCTGGGAAAGGCTCACTGAGCTTCACGGGGCGCCTGGAGAGGTCAGCTCCTAGATGGAGCTTTTTTAGATAAACCCCACCCCTCGGTGTGGCTGCCTGAGGGTAGAGCCAGCGCCCTTCCCCAGGAGAGGCTGATGGATTTCTTCTCGCCTGTCAGCTCTGGTTGATGGTGGGGGTGGGAGGGTGGAAGGCAGCATGAGGCCAGGGTTGGTGGTGCTGTCTGCCCTGCATTGCCATCCTGAAAGCAGAAGTGGGGGGGAGGGTGGGGGCGGGGGAGACACACACCTTATCCACAGCTCTGCTCCTGCCTAAATTGTCTAAGTCACCTTCATGGGGCAAGATTCCTTCTAATTTGACATAGCCAGACTGTTCCCTGAGGTGACCCAAGGTCTGAGATGAAAACCCGGGTTCTGAACCCCCAGCACCAAACAATGTCCTAAAGTTGGTGAATAACAATAATAGCAGGAGAGGAAGCAGGTACCCAAGGTCACACAGTCAGAATCACAGCAGAGCCAAGAAATGCATAGATGGGGCCAGTGAACTTTGAGGTCCTGTCCAGTGCTGGGGTTTAGGGTTAGGGTTTGGGGGGATCACCCTGAGTACTGCCCCTTCCCCCCAGCTCTGTGCTAACCCAGGAGTCTCCACAGTCCCCTTGCCCACAACTCCACCTGGCCGGGCATCCTGGAATCCTCCACCTGCCTTCTTATCCAAGCCTCCTCTTCTTTTTTACGAAGAAGAGAGTCCACCAGTGAGACTATGCCACATAAAGCCCTTTACAGTTTGCAAAGAGCCTTCTCCACACTATAATCTCATCTCATGCCTATGAGCTGGGCTCTCTGATGATCCCTGTTCCCTCAAGGGAAGTGATGCTGACAAGAACTCTGGTCCCTGGTGACGGGCCTTTTTCTATGATGCCGTTAGCCTTTCAAGTGGGTAATAATTAGACCCAGTGCTTCTCAACAGGGGACCAGGTAGCAGTTTTGCTCCCCAGAGGACATTAGACAGTGTCTGGAGACATTTTGGGGCGTCACAAGTCTGGGCGGGGTTGGGGGTGTGGGCAATGCTACTGGCTTCCAGCGGGCAGAGGTCAGGGATGCTGCTGAACATCCTGCGATGCACAGAACGGCCCCCAGCACAGAGCATTGTCTGGCCCCAAACATGAGCAGTGCCGAGGCTGAGAAACACTGTAATGGAGGGAGGCAAGGGGAAGCTCCCCTCCCAAGAGTGTCCCAGCCAGTGACCCTGTCCCACAAAGCCTTTCCCAGTCCCCACGTTGGAGGGCAGCTTGTGTGCCTCTGAAGTCCTTGAGCTGTTGGCCAGCAGCTCTCGTGGACATTTGTCACTTTCTCTGTTACCTGTGAGTCGGCCCATCCTATCCACCTGGGAGCCAGCTTCATTCCTGAAAGTCCTCGGGAGGCCACCTGCCCACTCCTCTGCTCAGTAAGCATGACCGGATGGAGAGGCCGTGGGAGCCAGAGCATCTCCAGGTGGGGTGTTGTTAAGCCGTTTGCTCAGCGCTGTTCCCTCTCCTCAGATGTGATTCTCGAATGCCTTGGCTTCACATGGGAACTCCATCAGCCCCAGCTGTTTCAGTCTGACACCTTGGCCAAGCTTTACGTGATGGCCCTGGCCCGGGACAGCGCAAACCCTGAGAAGGAGCTGCAGAAACTTCTGCGAGGTACGTTCTCACCCAGAGCGGGAGCCCCAAGGGCTCTCTGGTTTGAGAGAGCCCAGCTTGGTGTTTGGTGATCTGTTTGGGGACCACGGTCACTCCTGCAGTTAGGAGCAAGGCTCATGGTGTGACCTCATCACAGGATTTATCCTCGGTCTCCTGAGCTATAAAATGGGGAGAGTGGTTCTTACTGTGTTTCCTTGTGGAGGAGGTAACAGACGTGAAATTCTAGAACAATGCCTGGCACGTAGTGAGTCTTCAGTCAATGTCAGCTATATGCTCATAAAAACCCCACCTTGTCCAACAGCTATGATGGAAGCCTCCCTACTTTTCTGAGAAGCGAAACTGGGTTGTGTTGGGTCTTCTGATGGGCTTTCTAGAAGGAAGGCGTAGTTCTGACATCTGTGGCTTGTTTGGCCCTAAATCTGTCGGTTGGAGGTTTACAAGCATTCATCGATTTTATTTTTTCCTTTTCCTTTCGCTTCTCTTTTCTTAACTCCACCTCATACCCAAAAGTATTTAGGTCACTTCTTTCTTTTTCTCCTTTTTAATTTTAATAATCCCCAGTCTGCCCTTATCTGTCCCATAAGTTCCTCTCCCGCCGCCTTGCTAACTTCTTCCCAGGAAACACAGATTGGCGTCGCCTCCAGACAACTCGTAAGCAGGTGCCATGGAAAATTTAAGGCCTCCAAAGCAGCCAGCATGCCAGTCAGGATGGGGATTGCATTTCCAGGACGTGGCAGTAAAACTCTGATATTCCGGAGCCAGACAGGCTGCCGGAGTCCCCGCCCTGCCTTGAGCCAGGAGAGAGAGCCTGGCTGCCTGCCGAAACCTTCCCGGCCACAGATCCTCTGACTCAGCCCTTCCCGACCCAGCTGGGAGCTGAGAGTGGGCTGCCAGTCCCCCCAGAACTGTAACGAGCTTCACACTTACTCATGATCTTCTTTGATCTTCCTTAGCGTTTGTCCCCGTGTCTTAAAAAGGGACCGAGCTCTTTCTCCTGTGTCCCCTGTGCCCAGGTCAGAGCTCTCCCTAGCCCACCAATGGAAGGCCATGGAGGGCCAGACAGTGAATATACTGACAGGCAAGAGAATTTGGAAGGGAAAAAACAGAGCTACCGCTGGCGTTATGGTCTTTAACAAGTCTAGAATGGTCTCAAAGATTTGGCCCTACTAAGACAGCTCTGATCCAAGCCCCCTGCTGGAGGCTGGGCCTGACTGGCGGGCATCAGGGCAGATGCAGAGTTGAAATCTCGGTGTTCAAACCATCACAACTTTCCAGGGTCTCCCTGCAAGCACCAGCATCTGTGTCAGACCCTGGGACTCTCGTCCCAAGATTTTCAGTGGGTGCAGTCACAGTGCCGTGCCTTCAACAATGATTTTCCTTATGCATCTCACAAGTGTTGCTTTTGTGTTCCTGAGAATATCACTGTTGCGGTCCTGGAGTTAGCAGCAGAGAAATTTCTGACCAAGTCCCGGAGGGGTGGGCGCCGAGGAGACACAGCCCGCCTCGAGTGACCCTGTGCCGGCCACACAAGGCTGTCCCAGCCGCTCCTGTTCATCCCACCCAGAGTCCAGGGTCAGCTGCACCTTAGCAGCATGGGTTTATTCTCTAGCAGGAAATCTGAGAAGAAAACAGCGTTCATTTACTAAAAACAAACCGCTGTGGTGTGGAGGCACCTCCGAAGCATATGATCAAATGATCACTTTCCTATCCGATTGCGTGAAGTTTTACTTACAAAAACTGTCTTCCACTTACTCTGATCTAGCTGAGAATATTCCTGCCTTCCTTCAGCCAATGTTCAGTGCTTAACTTGTGCCAGGCATTGTGCTAGAAAGTTAATGTGGGGGGTGGGGGTGGGGGACAGATGAGCCCACCCAAAATGATGCGGACGCGTGAGGAAGAGCAAGGCCCCTGATGACCCCGCCTACCTGTCCGGAATGCCTGCTCCGAGTCGCACTCACCTCCTCCTCCCATTTACTGCCCCCAAGATGGGGACGAGTGACAGCACGGAGCAGGTAGGTGGGAGGCTGTGCAGAGATCCGGGAGGGAGAAGTGACCCAGAAGCGGGAACAGGCCTGGCACTTAGCAGGTGCTCAATAAATATTGGCCGAATGAGAGCCTGACCAGCGCCAGGAGCCAGGAGCCTGGGGAAGGAAGGCTCGACGGTCTTGCCGGTCTGAGGAAAGTGCAAATTGTTCTCTTTTTTCCTGCATCTTTTGTGGTTACAAATTGTGACAATCTTTGGGGCTTGGGACTCACAACACTTTTCGTTACCTGGAACCTTGAGCTCACTAGGCTTGGGATGCTGGTGATGGAATCCATCCATCCCATCGGTTCAGCCGATACTTACTGGGCACCAGCGTATGTGAGACTGTGCTGGGGCCTGGGGATGGAGGGGCAAGTTCACCGCGCAGCATGTACTCAGAGCAGATCATAAACCAACAGACACGTGGTGTAACGGAAATGGTTGGTCCAGGAGGAAACATGAAGCCAGTTGGGGCGTAGGTGGGGAGGGGTGCTACCTTACGTAATGCAGGGTCAGGTGGATCCCTGATGGGGGAGGGAGGGAGCCCCACAAATCTCCCGGGGGACGAACTACAAAGAGGCAGGGTTTGGGGTCCAGTGAGCCAGAGACCGGTGAGAAGGTCTCAGAAGGGCTTTGGCTTTGCAAGGGTGTGGGAAGCCGCTGGAGACCCGAGGGCACCGTGTGCTGTAAGTCACATTTTAAAGTAACTCTGAGTGGGTGGAGAAGGCTGGCAGCGATTTGGGCTGCCCCTTCACGTCCTCTTGGAAGCCTTTGGTGGGGGCCACTGTTTGGAGCCTGTGGGGCAGAGTCCCAGGGCCACACTCATCCTTTGGCAGATGGTCCCTGTGCCCCTGCCTGGTGCCAGTAGCTGGGTGCGCAGGGCGCAGAGACGATGGAGGCCCGCCCCTTGCCCTCAAACTGCTCGCAGCCTAATAAGAGAAGGGGGCAGCGGAGGGCTAGTAATAAGTATCTAAAATGCAGTATGAGCATCAGGGTCCCAGTTCTGACAATCACAGTGGCTGTATCAGACCATCGGGGGACGCTGGCTGACGGGGAACACGGGAAGTCTCTGTACTATTTTTGCAACTTCTTGTGAGTCTTCAACTATTTCAAAATAAATCATTTCAAAAATGCATTCACTAAACAAACAAGCAAACAAAAATAAACAAAATGCAGTGTGATACATGCCGGGATCAAGGCTGTGCAAATGGTCGTGGGGCCTCACACTGTAGCTCGCACAGGTCCCTGTGGCTGTCACACGTGTACATCCCTGCCCGGTTTCTTTCACCAGCTCAGCTGCCTAGGAAGACCAAGGAACAACACCCTGCAAAGAAGATGATCATTTCCTTGAAGATCAACGACCCCTTGGTCACCAAAGCTGGTAACATGCACCTATCCTCATATTCTGAGAGTCATTCAACAATGGCCCTCCCAGATTTGAAAAAAAACCAAAACAACCAAACATCACAAACTGGAGGCACATGGTGTTCAGTGCCTCCTTATTAAAAACAGCTGAGCAGTGCAGCGAGGAGGGGAAGGAGGCTGGGACAACTCAGGGGAATGAAAGAAGAGGGGGTTCCTTGCAGGGAGGCGTCAGGGATGTAGACAAACCCAGGGACGATGTCACTGCCCTCTTGGGCACAGGCGTCCAGGGAAGCGCTCAGGCCCGCCCTCAACAGTAGGCAGCGCCAGCCCACCCCATCCCGCCCCGGCCCCTCCCTGGCGAGCTGCCAGCAGCAGAGGCCTCCCCCAGGGGGCTCCCTTGGGCCGTCCCCCTCCCCAACCCCTCCTGCCTACCTAGAAACAGACTTCGGTGTTAGTGCTATGTCACGTGCCATCAGGAAACCATCCCCAAGCCCTGGTAGGGACAGTTGTCCTCAAAGCGCATGGGACCGCACTACAGCGCCTTTGGGATCAGGCAGAACTTGGAACAAGCCGAGTCCATCTGTCCCCGGCCAAGGACTATCAAATTACCCTGGCCCGTCCCAGGAGTCCTTAACCTTTATGAAGACCCCAGACTCTGAGGAAAATCTGCTGTAAGTATGTTATCTCCAGAGAAAATGAAACGCACGTCCGTGCACACAGCGTTCTACACGTTTAGGGGCAGCCACCTCCCTGCCCAGGACCCCAGGTTAGATCAGAACCCCCTCAGGCAGACACAGAACACGCTCACAGGAGACTCTTTCACAGGCGCTCCATTTTCTGTAGCTTCATCCTCCACTCCTTTGCGGGACTGGGCCCAGGTGGGAGTGGGTGCGTGTTTTCTGATGCATCTCTGCCCGCCCAGCTCGGGGACACTGACCGCAGGGAGGGCGCCTGCGCCTGCGGGCGGGATGCGGGGGTGCCGAGCCCCACGCTGACGCTCGCTCTCGGGGCTGCCTCCCCAGCCTTCGCCACCGCCCTGAAGAACCTCTACATGCACGAGGTGACGCTGAGCGCGGACGACGTGCTGGGTGTGCTGGCGGCCGCTCACGTCCTCCAGTTCCGCAGCCTGTTTCAAAGGTAAGGAACCACAGCGGCGAGGTGCAGCCAGGGCCAGCCCTGGGCGGCATCTGAAGGGTCCTTCCCGGCCCCTCTCACGCAGCAGCCCTCTTCCGTGGGCTGGGACATCTGGGGTTTCTTCGCACAGAGCACAGCTTCGAGTCTGCAAAGGAACCGAGACCTGAACTCACACTAACGGGTTACGAGTTCACAGTGGGGCCCTCTCCCCAGCAATACGTTCATTTTGACAGACGATTCTTGACTCACAGGAATGAAATGCACGTGCGGGATTTCAGTGTCTGGGAGAAGTTCTGTGGGTGTGCTGAGTGACTTCCCAGCAGCGCTCAAAGCTTGCTTATCAATTTCACCTCTGTTCATTTTTTTAATTGAGGAGTTCACATACTTTTTAAAATTGAAATATAGTTGATTTACAATGTTGTATTCCTTTCTGATGTACAGCATAGGGATTCAGTCATACATATATATATATGTCTGTGTGTGTGTATATATATATATTCTTTTTCATATTCTTTTCCATCATAGGCTATTAACAGATACTGAATATAGTTCCTTGCTATACCATAGGTCCTGGTGGTTTATTTTATATATAGTAGTTTGTATCTGCTAATCCCAAACTCCTAATTTATCCCTCCCCCCACCTCTTTCCCCTTTGGTAAGTTTGTTTTCTATGTCTGTGAGTCTGTTTCTGTTTTGTAAATTAGTTCATTTGCCTCATTTTTGTGTGTGTGTTTGTTTTCAGCTAAAAACGTCTCTCGCCATTTAGGGAGAGACTACATGTAAACTGGCCCTCTGAAGACCAGCTGAATTGTCTGGTCATTTTCAGGACTCATTTCCCCCAATCATTTCAGATAGAACCTTGTTTCTTCTTGTAAATAATATTTTTATTTTTTACAAATGTTGCACGTGGTCATTGTAGAATTTTCAGAAGAGAGAAAAATGCAAAGACCAGACTGCCCATCAATCTGACTGCTCATTTGGGCACAGCTTTCCTCCTGGGTATGCAGACCCTGCTGGCCCGCTGGGCCGTCCATCAAGGGTCCTGTGCGGGGAGAAAGAGGAGGCATTTACAGCGGATTGACATTGGATGTGAAAACATCCTTGTCCTGATGAGGGTTACCTGAGGAGGGTTACCACAAGTTCATGGAGAACTTGTGGATGCTGAAAGTGTGAGGGAGCGCTAGACGTCTCAGCATTTCTGCCTGCATCCCAGCAGCCAGGGAAGTGCAGCCCAGGGGGGTGAGATTCAGAGGCTCCCAGTTTTCATTAGTCTTTTCCTGCAGAGCCAAAAGCAACCCAGAATGTGACCCTGCTGCCAGCTGCTCCCTGCCCCTCAGTGGTCTGAGCTGTGAAATGAGTCTCGTGGCGTTTGTCCTGCCTGCTCTGCAGGACTTGGCTGGGGCGAGGGGATGTCAGCAGGAAGGCTGTGAGATGGAGTGTCTGCCGTGGTCAGACGCTGCTCTCAGCTCTTGGCAGGGATTCCCTCCTTTCATCCTCCCTGCAGCCCTAGGAGGTGGGATATCAGTGTGCTCTCTTCACAGATGAGGAAAGGGAGGACTCGAGAGGTAGACAACTTGTCCAAGGCCACCCAGCTTCCAAGGGTGACAGGATTTGAAGGGCGCAGAGAGTCCCCAGAACCTGCAGCCCTAACACTGCCTATTCTGCTTTGCTCAGGCGGGATGGTGATGTCACTTGCTCATTCACGGTCCCGACCCTCCCTGCTCCCCTCCCCTCCAGTGGCACTCATGGAGTTGGCTTAGAGCCATTCACTGTCCATCGATTCAGTCACACCTTCATACCTGCATCTGTTCCTTTAAGAATGATTTCCTGGGCTTCTCCGGGACACCAGGGAGACAACGAGGACCAGATGGGGAGGGCCCCTGCCCTTTAAAGCGTCATGCCCAACAGTCTCTAAGACACAGGAAATGAGTGAAGTGGGGATGAAGTGAAGGTGGGGATTTCCAAATGGAGAATTTTGTAAGATTAATTTCAAGTAAAACGGGTACTATAATTAGGAAGAGCATTTCTCAGAACTTCCCTTTTTTGGTATCCTATAATATTCCTCCATGCCATTAATGCTTGTGAAGGGTAAGTGAACCAAATGGAAAATCACAGATAGGATTCATTTTTCTAGACTATCTTTCCCCTTCCCCTGGGCTTTTCCAGGGATGTGTGCTTACTGGACTCACAGCCTGAACCCAGGCGGTATCTTACGGCTCCCTGACTTCCTAATTCCTGATGCAGTTCAACAGAGAGGAGATTTAGGGCAGGGGTGCTCTGCCTGGCTTGTTTCACCACCCTCAACCTCAGTTTCTTTGTTTGAGGGAATGGAAGAATGGATGAACTTCCCGTCCTAGCCCAGAGAGGGCATCAGCCACTCTGGGAAAGGCAGGATCTCTCCCGGGGACCTTGCAAGTTTCAACTCACTTTTTATAGAGTCCACACAGCCAGATGCTTCTGAGCCAGTGCCTCATTGCTGGTGGCACCTGAAATGACTCAGGCAAGACCCTCCATCTGAAGCATCTCAGCGGGGATGCAGATGCCCTGTGGACCGAGGAATGCAGGCTCTCAGAGGCCTAGATGTGACTGCAGAGGACACACTGAGGGCACCAGTTTTGAAAGGGCACCCCAGCATGTCTGCCTGGCCAGGCTATGGGTTGGGTGGCTGTGGGAGATGGGAGGCCAGCAGTCATCGGCAGGAACAGGTCACATAGAGTCTTGGGGAGAACTAAGGAATCTGGCCTTGACCTCGCAGGTGATGGGGGGAAAGTGAGGGTTTTCCTGAGATTCCCCACCCCACTTCCATCGTGTGTATCACCCACCTTCAGCTCCGAAGAGCCTTGAGACAGAGAGTCACTACAAAACCACAGCTTCTGTGTGCAGACATTTCTGAGCGTCTATTTCCTGGTGCTGTGCGGGAATATATCTCTGGCCCCAAAGCTGGAAGGCCGTAACTAGCATACATAAAATAGACAAACAATAAGTTCATACTGTACGGCACAGGGAACTATATTCAACATCTTGTAGTAACCTATGGTGAAAAAGAATACGAAAATGAATATATGTATGTTCCTATGTGACTGGACATTGTGCTGTACACCAGAAACTGACACAACGTTGTAAACTGACTGTACTTCAATTTAAAAAAAAAGCTGGAAGGCCAGCTTCCCTCTTGGAGCGGGACCTCCTGCCACCTCTGGCTCTGAGCCTCGGCTGCCCCACCGGAGGCCCAGATTCGGAGCCCCGTCTTCCTTGCGAAAGCCTAGCCCGGGCTTATCTGGGCGGGGCCGAGATCGACAGGGTCTTCATTTCTTTCCTCCTCCGCAGGCCTGGTTTAGAATGCTGGAGCAGGAAGGGCTTTGGATACTGAGCCAAACCTATCATTCCACCCACGAGCAGACCTAGGCCCGCCCCAGGCTGATGGGCCCCGCCCTAGATTCTGCAGATACTTGAGGTGGGGCTGGAATCCCAAGTCGGAGCCAGGCGGGCCTGGCACACAGCTGGGCTGGGGCTCGCCTGCCTTTGAGAGGCTGATGGTGCAGTTGGCCGGGGTGTGGCGGTGCAAGCCTCAGTGTGTGTGTGTGTATGCCTGCACACGTGTGAATGCCGAATCACTCTGATAGCATCTCAAATCTAGGTGCTGGATGAGACCTTAAAGGTCATCTCGGCCGAACTCCCAGCCAGTGCAAAATTGCCCAGGTCATGTGTGAACCACGCTCACCCAAGGCCACCCATCTTTTGGGGATGAAGTGTGTGCATGTGGGCTCCACTGGGCGCTGCTCATTAAACTCACGCATTGGTGTCTGCACTGGCACGACTGAGATCGTGGTTGTCATGTGCATATGTGCACAAGTGGGCATGCACACACACACACACACGCACGCACGCCCAAGGGTTACTTGGCTGGGAGGGCAATTCCTTGCCTCCATGCAGGGCTGAACTCTCTCTGTGGGCAATTGCCTAGTTGTTAGAATTTCTGCAACCCTCCCTGAGCCCAGAGGCAAGTGGCCCGAGTGGCCCCAGGGCTTGCTTTGTGTCCTCTGGTCTGGGAAGCCTGACCATTCCAGGCCTGCTGGCCGGTGACTCTGACAGTGAGGAGGCAGGAGCACAAATGAAGGCGTCAGCCTCCTAGGTGCTCGTTTCTTCATCCCAGCTCTAAACCCAGCTAATTCTGCCCACGCATCTCTGTAGGCAAAAGCCAGAACCTAAAGAACACTGTGCCTGGTGAGTGGTCGGACTGAACCCCCTCCCACACAGCCCCTTTCACACCTGGTTTCCCCCTTGCTGATCAGTAAGCTCAGCTCACAGTGAGGCCAGGAGCTCCAGGAGGAGAGGAGCCTTGTCTGGACACGGCAGGTACTGCCAGAACCAGGCACAGAGGCCAGCACAGAGGCAGCACGCAGGGGATGGATTTATGCGGGGAGGGCTGCTTCCTGCCATCTGTAGTTTCATGGGAGAGTGGTGGGAGGAGGCAGAGGTACCAGGCAGAACGAGGGCATGGAAATCAAAGCAAAGGGAGTATGTGAGGAGAAGCAATCAGGCAGGCTTCCAAGAGGAGGTGATACCTGAGCTGAGACTGGAAGGATTCCCGCCATGGAAGAGAGAGAGAAAGGGACATTGGGCAGAGGAGAGCCTAGAGACTGGGACATGCTTGGCTGCTAAGACCCCAAGTGGCTGGTATGGAGGAGGGGCATTGAAAGATGAAGGGAAAGGTGAGTGGGGAGGTTAGGGTGAGCCCAGGTCATGCAACCTCAAAAGCCAGGTGAGCCAGTTCCACCTGGTTCTACCAGCAGAGGAGAGCCTGAAGCTGGGGAGGAGAGAGTGGGCTGAGCCCCTCTGTTTTTGGCTGAGACCTTCAGGTTGCAGTGGGGACGCGGGAGGCTGGTGGGGGCAGGGAGACCTGTGGAGAGGCCCAGGTGAGAGATGAGGAGGGTCTGAACTAGGCAGGGGCAGTGGGAAGGGAGAGGAGGGGGCAGGTCATCTAGGAGACAGTGAAGGTGTAGAACTGACAGGACGCAGCAGTCTCACCTTCCAGCATGCCTGAGAGATGAAGCAGGGTCTGGTATTTACCCAGCACACACTTTTCCAATGCTCAGGGCAACTCCTTATCATGGGTATGATCAGTCTCACTGTGGTGAAGGGGCTGTCCTAGGATCCAAGGGGCTGATGTGCCTTGATCATAACCAGATTGTTTTTTCATTCCTGATTTCTTGCCTTGCTTTAGTAAGAGTCAGTGTGGCTTTAAAGAATACATAAAATACCAGGGCACAACATTGTTTAAAAAAAAGAAAAAGGAGAAAGAAAAAAAAAGGATGGAGAGGCTGAAATTGAATAACATAACCTCCACTCTATAAGTGGACCATATTTTTGACTCTGAGCTCCCTAGCAGCTAATACGAAAAGGAAATTTGATCAGTGACATCATAGATTAGACAAACAAATAAAATGACTTAGGAGAAGCACAGCTACTCTTGGCAATAAAATCCTGGGTGTCTTCATCTGATGACGCTGAGTGACTTGACGATCAATGTCCTCAACTATATGAATAGAGTAAATGTGATGATAAATTTAATAATGTTCTTTCTTGAATTTGGCAAAGTCTTCACACCAAAGCACAACTCAGTTAAAGCTATTCTTCAGAGGTGTGGTTGGTGAAGGTAATGAGCTCCCCAGCTCTCTGCTGACTTAGCTTAACTGAAGAATATGTTTTAGAATATGTGCAAGACTTAACTGGATATTCTTGAAGCTTTTTTCCAAGAGCAACATGTATCTCAACTGAGTTTAGCATAAGCATTGAGCAGTAATGATTTCAAGACTGTGCTTCATTCGAGAGCCCAGTAGCTATTCTCTGGTGCTCTGTTTGATGAAGTGAACATGACTTAAAATTTTGCTAAAGAGAGACTCATATTAGCTGTGGAAGGTGAGTCACTGAAACTCCATGGCCCCACCATCCACCCAGCATTTCCACCACACCACACACCCTGTTCCCCTGGCTTATCTCCTTAATCTTGCTCCCCTTGGTGTTCCTTCAAAGTACAGCACCTGCTCCTGCCCCAGGGCCTTTGTATATGCCGTTTCCTCTTCTTGGAATGCTGATCTCCCAATTCCTGGACTGGCCAATTCTTTGTCCTCCTCCTTCGGGTTTTAATCGTCACTTTTCTGACCCTTTCCCCATTAGGTTAGATCCCCCTTTTCTGCATTCCTAGGGACAAAGGTGACTGAGATTTTCATCAGACAGTTGCTCTTTGAATCTACTCTTGCACAGAGAGGAGCAGGACTGGAGGCCTCTCTAGCAGCATCACAATGGTCTGTACAGGAAGAAAATGCCTTCACTAGGGGTACAACTAGATGGTCATCCTGGCTAAAATGAAAACTCAGTAAGGCACCTTTACATGCTTAAGCTCTGAACAGTAATACTTCTCTCTGGCGTCAAGTCCATTTTGTTTCCATCCAAAGGATTTGATTTCAGGCCTCACCTCCCTCAGTCCAGAGGTCTTTGTAACCTGCCTTGCTGGTCTTGTTCTCCAGCCAAATGTCTCTACCCCTAAAATAAGGCTCCCTTTCTTTCCCTTCTGTGAAAGGTCTCTGCCGACGTCTCAGAGTTGAATGAGAACCCCCGGGGCTGCCCACTTCTCTAAAAGCATTCAGGAATAGCAGTCCTCTCTCTGCAGGTGTGTGACCATGATGATGAACGGACTTACGCCAAGCACCATCAAGAACTTCTATGTGGCCGGCTGCAAGGTGAGAACAACCTTGACAAGGCATGTAGCACCTGGGGGCCCTCAAGGGCACCCAGACTCTGGGATTTCATGCACCAGACCCAGCTCCATAAGATCTATCCGATGGTACCAGCCTAAGGGTGCTCACGTTTTATTTCGCCAAGTAAAAAAGATTTAAAAATCATTTTATTTTTAAAAGAATATTTTAATACTCACAAAGCAGAAAAGCTTTCATCTTGGTGGTGGTGATAATAGGGTGGGTGGAGGGAATTACAGCCTGTCCCACCAAGACAGCAGAAAACCTTCTGGGACATTCTTGGTGGAGTCCAGTGAAATTTGTCCCACCTGGGCCCAGTCCGTGCCTCCGTGTTGGCAAAAAATGATGTAATCTAACTCTTTCATTATCAGAGGAGACAACTGAGACCCAAGGAGGGGAGCCTTCATATCAGTCGTAGACTTCAGTCCAGCGATTTCAGTGTGCAAGCCCCGTGGTCAGACCACATAACTAGAGTGACCGCGGGTGACAGCAGGAATCTGGGAGCATCCATTTCTTCATCTTAACACAGGAATAAAAATGAACGGATTTCATAGGGTCGCAGTGAGGATTGATTTAAACCAACCTAATGCAGTACCTCAGGGGTAGCCAACACTCAGAAACCGTTATCTGCTGCAGTTGATGTGTTTTGGAGAGATTTGAGCACAGCTGCAGCGTGGCTCCCCTGCGAGCGCGCGTGTAGCATCGCCGCACTCCAGCAGAGGGCGCTGAGAGTTCAGGGATTCTTTTCTCAATGGGCTTTTCTTGCTTTCTCAGTACAAGGAAGAGCTGCTCACCACCGCCTGCGAGAGGTGGATGGAGATGAACTTGGTCCCTCTGATGGGGACACAGATCCACCTCCGGAAAATCCCGCAAGAACTGCTCCACAAAGTGCTGCGGTCCCCCAGGTCAGAGCCGGTTCCCAGGGAGCTGCCCCTGGGTGGACGGCGGGGAGCAGGGCTGGTGCAGGGAGGGAGGTGTTTTCGCCTGGGCGCACCCACACCCCTGCTGGACATGTCCAGTGTGCAGCGCCTTCTCCATCCCAAACTTCCTGGAGGGGCTGGAACTTGGGTACTGAGTGTAGGCACGGTACCCACTGGTAATTAATTAATTGCCTAAGTAATTTTAAAATTTGCATTCTTTTTTACTGAAGTATAGTCTGTTACAATGTGTCAATTTCTGGTGCACAGCATAATGTTTCAGTCATACATATGCATACATATATTTATTTTCATATTCTTTTCCATTATAGGTTACTCCAAGGTATTGAATATAGTTCCCTGTGCTATACAGTATGAACTTGTTGTTTATCTATTTTATATGTAGTAGTTAGTTAGTATCTGCAAACGTCAAACTCCCAATTTATTCCTTCCTACCCGCTTTCCCCCGGGAACCGTGTTTGTTTTCTATGTCTATGAGTCTGTTTCTGTTTTGTAAATAAGTTCATTTGTCTTTTTTTTAAGATCCCACACATAAGTGGTATCATATGATATTTTTCTTTCTCTTTCTGGCTTACCTCACTTAGAATGATGATCTCCAGTTTCATCCATGCTTCTGCAAATGGCATTACTTTATTCTTTTTAATGGATGAGTAGTATTCCATTGTATATATGTACCACATCGCCTTATTCATTCATCTGTCCATGGATATTTAGGTTGTTTCCATGTCTTATTGCCTAAGTAATTTTTAAAAATTCTTTCAACATTAATACATTAATACTTGTGGAAAATTTGGAGGCCAGGGAAAAGCAGAAAAAGGAAAAGGCTCTCTCCCCTAAATCAGTTTCTAACTCCAGCCCGGACTCCTCTTCTGAACAGCTCTAGACCCAGACGGTCCTCTGCCTGCACAACCTCTCTGACAATTAAGGCTGAAGCCCCACTTGTGGTGCCCTGTCCCGCCCTGTTCTTTGGCTAGCTGCTCAAGCCCGGGTCCTCTGGACACTTACTCCCCTCCCCCTCCCCAAGTGCAGTTGATTCTACTTCCAGACAGAACCCGTCTCTGGGGGCCTCTGTGTGAGCACCGGCCAGAGGCCAAACCTCCACATCTCTCATCTGGACCAGTGCAGGGACCCCTAACTCAGGGTCTTGGCCTGCTCTTGACCACCCCCCCAATCACGTCTCTAACCGAAGAGCCTTTGGCTCTGCCAATCTGACGCCTCTGTCTTACCCACGTGGCAGCCACTGGGCCTTCCTTAGATTCTGGCCAATGCCTGGCCTTTTAGGTCATTTCCAATGTTTTATTGATATAAATAGCACCTTGGTGACATCCTTCCATGTACGTTTATCTTCATCTCAGATTATTTTCCCATGTTGAATTCTTAGAAGTGAAACTGCTAAGTCAAAAGGGCATTCTGTTTGCTTTTATTACTATTAGTATTTGAAAATAATTTCAAACCAATTAAATGACAGCAATAGTGCCAGGAATATCTCAATACCCTTCACCCTGCTTTGTTCAGTCTCTGCCCTGATTGCTTTATCATTTGCATCTGTGTATTTATCTACCAATACACATTTTTTAAAACTCTTTGAAGGGAAGTGGCATCCATCGTGTTCTCTTACTGCTAAATGCTTCAGTGTTTATTTCCTAATGAAGAGAATTTGTTCTAATATAATCACAATGTAATTAACAGCTTCAGTAAATAGCTTAAGGTCATTGATGCACACTGTCCTTTGTAGCATCTTTTTCCCTCCAATACAGGATCCAGTTTAGGACCACATACTGCATTTCGTTGTCATGTCTTTGGGGGACTCTTTAAAAGGTTCTTGACACCCACTGCCCAGTTACCAAGATTGTATTCCCTTTGGGTGAATTTCAAGAATGAAGACTAAATTCGACTAAAAATTGTTATGGTATATTAGAAAATGTTTTCCTCGTGCAAGTGTGATAGAAAGCATTCCGATTTCAGGAATTAGATCTGGAAAGGTTTATTCTACCGTTGGTTCGAATTTACTCAGTAGCCTGCGATGCCCTCAGACTAATGGAGAAATGAGGTTGGTGGAACTGTGTTCTGGGTTCTGGTGTTGGGGGAGACTGTTATCTAAGAAGACTTCAGGAACTCGGGCCCCAAGAGCAGCCCCCGGGGCCCAGGGTGGGCTCCCAGGGTCGTTTTGCCCTGCTCCCCGAGATTTTTCCACTCCCTGCCCTCCATGGAGCAAAGGTTATGCAACCGTTGAAGAAAAGATAAACATGGCATCCCGTAGACTTTTCGTAACACTGTCCCTCCCTTGGAAAGGCTGAGTTATCCCACATTGGTTGCACTTAACCAAGAAAGAGCAAAACGTGTCTGACCACAAGCAGAACGCTAGCGATGGGACAGGCCTTAGAAAGCGCTGGCTGGGCAGGAAAAGAGGTCAAGAACATTACGTGTCAAGTGTCTAGACTCACAAGTTTGGGGAGACATGACTGATGTGGAAACTAGGTTCTGCTCCTCCGGCACCGCCCCAGGAGCCGTCTGCACCGACAGCCCGGGGCTATCCCAGGGGAGGAGGGAAGAGCCTGCATGGCCCTTGGACATGGCCTCAAGCATGTCATCAGCTCATGAGCCCTGGAGGGACCAGGCCCACAGCTCCCAGACCTCGTGCTCACATCCAGTCCTCTGATGTGAACTCTCCTCGCCTGGTTGATGTCTGGAGGCCGCCTGCTTTGAAGCTGGAGGGAAGAGGGAAACAGAGGGTGCAGGAAGAGGGCCTTGGGCCCCACCTAGCGCCTGGGGAGAGGGTTAGAAATTTACCAGGCCTGGGCTCTGAATCTTGGTGCTCCTGGTGGCTGATGGACCGCGCACCACCCACCACTTGTACTCAGCACTTCTGGGTGTGTGCGGTGCTGTGTGCACTGGCTCTTTCAATCCCCACAACCCAGGTACAGTTATTGCCCTTAAGATAAGAGGGATGATAAAAGGCAGGGCTGGTTTCAGGCTCCAAAGTCCAGGGTCCCACCCTCATTACTGCACCATCTTCTCGTTTGTAACAGAGGTTTCCCAGCAATCAGCACTCCGTGAAGACTGGGTTGTCCCGGGAAGTCACATGGCTTTGTGGAAAGGCCAACCCGAGGTCGGGGTTGGAGAGTCCCTGGCCCCACTTAGTGTAGACTGTGGCTCATCCCTGGCTTGTGGTCATGGTGTTTGGATGTCTAAGCTTTGTTGGACCCACATCTATCACTGCAGATGCTCCAACGTCGAGACCATTCACCTTCCCCACCTGAAGTGCCTTGACCTCATCTTCCTTTGCGTTTTCTTTCCATCTTGTAAATGACCTGTGGTAAAATGCACTCAATCTTCCTGACCTCCTGGGCCTCTGGTTTTCAGTTAATTTTCTTCTTAGAGGTCACCACTCGGTGACCCTGTTTTACTCACTCTAATATTATGAAAGCTTCATTCCAAGTTCTGCTTTTCTGAAAGCCAAGCTCCTTGTAGACTCAGGAGGGGGGAGAGCTCAGAGGTTTATCTGGTTCTGTCGACACCAAAGGCTGCCCCGAAACCAGGGGGGACGTGCCCACCCTCCCTGACTTCCTGTCTCTGATACAAGGAGCCTTGAGGGCTCAGGAATTCCCTAAGAAAGCCACGTGTCCTCCCCAGCATGCCTGTCCCGCAGCGTTCCCCCCAGCACCCGGAGCATCACTGGGCATCCTTGTCAAACATCGTCATTCCTGAAGCTGCCGCTTCTCTGGCTGATAACAACAGCGTGTCCCAGTTATGAAGCGCAGGTGCGTCTCCAAACACTCCAAGCGGGCCTTCAGTCTAATTCCTACAGCACCCCGGGAGGTGCTCCTCGTGTTCTCACATGCGGAATGGAAATTACAGGACACAGAGCATTGCTGCCCCCGCCCCACGCAGCGTGAGAGCTGGGATTTGAACCTGGATCTCAGTGGCCTCTGCGCCTGTGGTTATTGTCAGCCAGCTCGTGCACCCTACTCCAAGCCTCCTCCTTCCTTGCTGATGGTCAAGATCAACAAGGATATTGGTGAGGGAGGGTGTCGTT